GTCAGCTAAATGCTCAATAATAAGTTTGCCTATGCTTTGAGAGCTTTGAGTATTTGTTAGGTAATCTAGTACGTTTGAATCCTAAAAAAAAATTCAATAATTAAAAAAAATGTGTTATGAAAGCACAGTCTAAAAATGACTTATATCTCAAATAACACAAGATGGTTATAAAGCTAAAGTTTCAATTTTCTTTCAAAAGTCTAACCAATTTGTTTGTAAAGGATTAGCTCTAAAGGCTATGTAGCTGTTGTTATTCACTAGGTGATGAGCAAAGAAATATCCTTGGCATGGCCTTGCAACTCATGGATATGATGGTCTAGAGTATATGGTAGTGCTCATAGGACAATGGGACGAGCATGGTGGTCTCAAGGAAAAGGTCACAAGGTTGTGAACAAAGAAAGAGATTTTTTTCTGGTTCACAGTATAGGGGGTGTTCTCATCCTTCAAGTTGAAAACAGTCTCCTATAGAGATGTTCGTGCATACACAGGTATTTAAGTGCCCAGAATAGTTGGGTCTTAACTCTTGCTTTAGCATGCCACACAGCTAAAGATGGGTTTGTCATGCTTTCGTGGTAACTAAAAGTATGAACCTAATTTTTTCTTTATTATATACTTGAGGTGAAGAGGATCACGTCCTTGCTTGGAGTCTTTGCGACGGGGAACAAGCCATATGGATCACTTGTCTCACGTCTTATTTTAGCTCAAGGATCCTCCCACTCAATGGAACTTATTATGGATTAGCTCTATATGTGGTTTGCAAGCACAAGGTCTACTTCTCCCTCACAAATTCATGGCAACCACTTCCTAACAAGGACCATGACCCCCAGCTTGTCACGATTTCAGAGCTTGGAAAGATGTATATGATGCAGAAAAGATACAATGTAAGGCTCAATTTGTGCAAAGCCATTCCAATTCCAACAGTACTCCAGATGTTGGTTTGCTTCCACTGGTACAAGGGCAGGTTGTATAGGATTATAAAGATGACATAATCAAACTCTTGGTTTGGGACAAGGACCAGGATCAGAGTGGTAGGAGCTTGATCATCCAATGTACTGCCATAGTGTTCAACAGCTGGGTGGCGATAGGTTCTTCATCTCCACAGGTGCATGCTACTTCTGCATGAATCAGCTGCACAAGGAAGATGGTTTATGACTTGGACGACAGCAACTGGTACTACCACACTATCCACCACTATCGCTTCCTAACTGGTTTAGTTTGCACTAGGGGGCGATACAACAATGTTGTTCTGGATCTTGCCTTCATTGTTGTGTGGACTAGCAATATCCATTTGCTGCAGCTCCCTCCCCCAACTTGAAATTCTATTATTAGAATACACAATATCAAAATCATATAGAATCTATTTGGGCAATCAAATAACACCTCATTTCTTCTCCACCTTGATGTTGTGTGAATAGACCTTAAACCCTAAACACAATTAATTAATTATTAATGATTAATGATTTAATTAACTTTAAAAGAGCTCGTTTTAGAAGTGGTTTTGAAGTATTTGGAGCAGGTAAAGAATTCCTTGAAACAGAGCTCCAACACTACAGGAGCAGTAAAATATTCTGGTATGACAACTTTCGAGAGAGTTAGATTGAAAAAAGCTTCACAAAAAATTTAAATATACCAAAATGCTAGTTTAACCACTCATCAGTAAAAATTGTCGTATGGCGCTGAGTTTTTAGGATCCATCGCGATGGCATTGCAAGCAGCACCAACACTCCTATCCACTCCAACAGAGTGGATCTTACAGGCACTCACGAAGCATCCCCAGTTGGAAACATCTGGAACAAATGGCATTGTGTTGATGAGATCCTCAGCATCATCCAAGAGCCCAGCTCCCGCAAGAACACCGATCAAGCAGCAGTAGTGATCTCGCTCAGGGCTTATATCGTAGTCAAAAACCATTGAAGCCAAGGTATCTCTAGCAGCAATTACCAGCCCAAGGTGGCAGCAAGCAATCAAAAGGCCCATGAAACTCAGCTCGTCTGGCTTGAATCCTTCCAGATTCAAGACGTCAAAGAGATGAATGGACTCAGCACAATGTAGATTCTGGGCAAACGACACGATAAGAACGTTCCAGGTCACTATGTTTGGCTGTAAACAGCGTCTAAACAATGCCAAAGCATCGTCTAAGTGTCCATTTTGCCCATACGCTCCGATCGTGCAATTCCACGTGATAACGTTTGGAACTTCTACACTGTCAAAAAAGCACTTTGCTTCGTTTACATGCCCTCGTTGGGCATATGCAGTGATCATAACATTCCAAGGAACGCTGTCTCTCTGGGGCATCAGATCAAACACTCTTCTAGCTTTTGCAAGATTATCTTGATTTCAAAGTGTTGCTAGGAAAACTTTCGCAATGTAGATTCGCAATGTAGATGTTGTTCTTGTAATGGGTTCCTTCGATCAAAGCGTGGATCTTGCGAGCATCGCTCAGATCTTTGCTGGATTTTCGTGGATCAATCACAAGATCCGCTTTCACTGCTAGAGAGACTCGGCTTCCACTCGCAAAGAAGCTTGTAATCCCTGCTCTTGTAAGCCATCGTCGAGGATAGCTCGTCGAATCCAGGCGGAGGATTTCCAGTCTTGCGGCCACCTCTACCGCCAGGGCCTCCGCCACCGCCTTCTGCTAGTAGTGTCGCTGGTAGTGGCGGTGGTGGTGGTGGTGGTGGTGGTGGTGGAACCGCAGCTGCTAATTCTTCTTATGGACAGTGGGTACATCCTAATCAAGCTGCTCATCAAAAAACTTTGCATTATAAGAAGGCTAGCGTTGCGGCCCCTTCACAGCAAAGGCGTCATAGAAGCTAGCTAGACACGAGAGAGAGAGCGAGTGATTTAACACTCCTTGTAAGTCTAGTCTTTGTTTTAATGCGGTAAAACAAAGCCCTAGCTGGGGTTTAGTGTTTTAAGTTGCCTGCATTTGGCGGGAATGATGCGTGCGAGGTTCTTTCTTTGGATTTTGGTGATATGATGCGTGATCCGATAGAAATGGACGAGACTTATTGATCGGCTGGCGGAGTGGCCTTTGCCCGTGGTTGGACCTTCCGCCCGCGCTTTAGCCTTTAAAATGGAGCCGCATGGGGAGAAGATTTTCCTGGAGCGATGCTTGGGATGGAGCGAGTCTTTTTCTCGCTTGCTGCTCTTGCTGTTCTTGCTGCTGCCGCAACCAACGAGGTGATCTTTTCCTTTCTCCGGCTTGATAGATTTCTAAGAAGTTGGGTGTTTTTGGCAGCCTGTTAGCAAATACATTGTCTACTTGGGGCACACTGGGAGCTCTAAACCGGAGGCTGTGACATCGTCTCATCACCAAATTCTTGCCTCTGTCAAGGGGAGGTACGAAACAATCCTCTTGCAACAATTTTTCTTTTCTCCTCACTGTGTTTGATGTTTAGCAAGGAATCGTCTCTGGTTCACAGCTACAAGCACGGTTTCAATGGCTTCTCCGCCTTCTTGACTGCAGCCGAAGCCGACTCCATTGCAAGTATGCCTCTCTTTGAAGCTTTCGTCACGAGTTTTGACGTGTGGTTTATCAGAGCTTCCTGGCGTGGTTAAGGTTTTCCGTTCCAAAAAACTCAGTCTCCACACAACACGCTCCTGGGATTTTCTCGACAGCTTTTCTGGTGGTCCGCACATTCAACTCAACTCTAGCTCCGGATCGGATGTCATTGTGGGAGTCCTGGATACTGGTAATCATGGAAAAAGCTTACTTCCGAGTTAATTATCCACTTCCAGGTGTTTGGCCGGAGTCCAAGAGCTTCGACGACGCTGGGATGGGACCGGTGCCAAAGAGATGGAAAGGAGTATGTGACAATTCCAAAATCACCAATCATTCACACACGATCCACTGCAACAAGTAAGATCACTCTTGGGTTCATCTCTCAAGCATTGTGATTTCTTTCAGGAAAATTGTAGGAGCTCGATCTTATGGACACTCGGACGTGGGGAGCCGTTATCAAAACGCTCGGGACGAAGAGGGGCATGGAACTCACACGGCCTCCACCATCGCTGGAAGCCTGGTAAAAGACGCCACTTTTTTAACAACTCTTGGAAAAGGAGTTGCTCGAGGGGGCCATCCATCCGCAAGGCTTGCGATCTACAGGGTTTGCACGCCAGAATGTGAGGGTGACAACATTCTGGCAGCATTCGACGACGCAATTCACGACGGTGTAGATATTCTCTCGTTATCGCTGGGTTTAGGTACCACCGGATATGACGGGGATTCCATATCCATTGGTGCTTTCCATGCAATGCAGAAGGGAATTTTTGTATCATGTTCTGCTGGAAATGGAGGTCCAGGCTTCCAAACCATCGAGAACTCGGCTCCATGGATTTTGACAGTGGGAGCAAGCACTATCGACAGGAAGTTCTCGGTCGACATCACACTTGGAAACTCTAAAACCATTCAGGTACTTGATTGTTTTTCGTGAATTTTTCCTTTCTCATGTATATATAACAGGGAATAGCAATGAATCCCAGGCGGGCTGATATATCAACGCTTATTTTGGGTGGTGATGCTTCTTCTAGATCTGATCGAATAGGACAGGCCAGGTGATAAAACTAACACTGTTTCAGCTGAATGAAAGCTTATCACTAAAACATACTTGGCATTAAGCCTATGTGCAGGACGTTCTTTGGATGGGAAGAAGGTCAAGGGAAAGATTGTCTTGTGCAATTACAGTCCGGGCGTTGCATCATCCTGGGCCATCCAGCGACATCTTAAAGAACTTGGTGCCTCTGGAGTAATTTTGGCGATTGAAAATACGACAGAGGCAGTGTCCTTCCTTGATCTTGCTGGAGCTGCTGTCACTGGGAGCGCCTTGGACGAGATTAATGCCTACCTGAAGAACTCGAGGTACACAAGCTTTCATGCATTTTTGGTTTGAGACTTCTTGACGTCTTTTAAACTTTTCTCAAGGAATACTACAGCGACCATCTCTCCAGCACATACGATCATACAAACCACTCCAGCCCCAATCATTGCGGATTTCTCATCGAGGGGACCTGATATTACCAACGATGGCATTCTTAAGGTATCTGGAGGAGAGTCTTACTAATATAAACTGGGAGTCTTATCTTTACAGCCCGATCTCGTTGCTCCTGGTGTGGACATACTGGCTGCATGGAGTCCCGAGCAGCCCATCAACTATTATGGCAAGCCAATGTACACCGACTTCAACATAATCTCTGGAACTTCCATGGGGTGTCCTCACGCCAGTGCTGCCGCGGCCTTTGTCAAATCCAGGCACCCGAGTTGGAGTCCAGCAGCCATCAAGTCGGCTCTCATGACAACAGGTACCAAAGAGAACAAAAACAACTAGTTTTCCCTCTTTGATCGTTTGTTTGGTGTTTGTAGCACGCTTCCTGGACAACACAAAGAGCCCAATCAAAGACCACAATGGGGAAGAAGCTTCACCATTTGTGATGGGAGCCGGACAGATTGATCCAGTCGCAGCTCTTAGTCCTGGCCTGGTCTACGACATATCTCCGGATGAGTACACGAAGTTTTTATGCACGATGAACTACACAAGGGATCAGCTGGAGCTCATGACTGGAAAGAACTTATCTTGTGCACCCCTGGACTCCTACGTGGAGTTGAACTATCCATCCATCGCGGTTCCCATCGCTCAGTTTGGCGGGCCAAATTCCACCAAAGCGGTGGTGAACAGGAAAGTTACCAACGTTGGAGCTGGCAAGTCGGTCTACAACATTTCAGTAGAAGCTCCGGCGGGAGTGACTGTCGCGGTGTTTCCTCCACAGCTCAGGTTTAAATCCGTGTTCCAGGTTCTAAGTTTCCAGATCCAGTTCACAGTTGATTCATCCAAGTTCCCACAAACGGTGCTATGGGGCTATGGAACACTGACATGGAAGAGTGAGAAGCACTCGGTCAGAAGTGTTTTTATTCTTGGCTTGAACTGAGTTGAAGAGATGGCAGACGACATGATAAGAATGTTCCAGGTCACAAGATTTGGCGGCAAAACAATGCGTCAAGCTTCAATCCCTTTCATTTCCAAGATGCCCTCTTTCGGCATAATAATGCAGTACCCAAACTTTCTACAAAACATTCGTTTAGCTCTCCAAAGTGGATCTTATCGAGGTGTTGGATAAAAGAGCTTTCAATTGATCAAATTCACTGCATTGGGGTTTGCTCTGAGCATTTCTAGTCCACGGTACAACACCATGCTTGAGAATTTCCTGTCAAATTGTAGCAACAAAACATAAGATCCCAGCACTGTTCGATGGCTTGTGCTTGGGGTTGATCTGTAACTCAATGAGTGTGGTGATGCAGGAGGAGGAGGAGAGACGAGAACTCTATGCCAACGCCTGATCTTATATACTAAGTTAGTCCTCTTCATCCCCACCTTGGGCAAAGAATCCTTTGCTTCAATGGTTTTTGACTCTGATGGAGCCGTCACTAATTTGCTACTTGATTCTTCCTTGTCCACTCGTTATGCTCTTGGATGCGGGCCAAACACCTAGAGGTTTGTGTTAGATGAAACATTGAGATTTTAACATGGAAGTAAGCTTACTTAAGCTGGCCAATATCCATAACTCGCCAGAGCTAGTGTTGAATAGTCTTTGGTACCAAGAGCCGACTTGATGGCTCCAACGCGGATACCTGGATTTGAGCAGCACCAGCGAGAGGGAAGTTCCAGAGTAAATTGATGGCTTTCCATGATGCAGACCAGATCCGGATGTAAAGAATCCTCAAGTAAAAGTTTCTTATTTGGAGCTTGTATTATAGCTTGCTGTAGGAAAGTTAAAAAAACTCTAGAACTTTCAAACCAAAAATGAATGAAAGCTTGTGTACCTTAAGCTATTCATGTAACAAGCAACTTGCTTGTTTATTTATTAATTTTTAATGATAATATAATCAATAATTATCTTATTAAATTTTTTAAACACTATTAATTAAGATAGTTACTTACATAAATTTAATTCTAATTTTATTACAACTTTCAATGGTAGAATGAAGTAGAATATACTAGGAAGTGTTTATAAATTATAAATATGTTTATAAGTAAAAGACTAATTTAAATAAATATTAACTATTAGATGGTAAAATATCCCAGAATATCCAACCATATTCTAGGTTTATCCTGCCACCCATATAAAAAAAATTAAATATTCTTCTAAAATATCATTCTAATCATTTTATTATTTTTCTTAAATATAAGTGATTTTTTTAGTATTAATACATATTATTTATTTAAATTTATTACAATTTACTACCTCTAGTATATTTCAATATATTATGATGCTCTGACCTAGTTTTTTGATTAATTGCAATACTTTAACTTAATGCACTAACCACTTTATGATTATCATCATTGTTTTAAAGGTTTTTAGCTGTTTAAACTGGTTGCATCAGCAATTCTTACCTATTTATTAAAAATTATAAAAGTTATTTTACACAAAATATTTTTTATTTATTAAGTTCCTACTATTGATATTTTAAAGAGGTCATTTAACTTTCCAGCTTATATAGATTATATATATTAGGTTATTTTTTATTTTTCTAAAATATTTAATAATAATACCTTAAAATTTTAATTAAATATTTTAAATTTATTAAAGAAATAAATTTAATAATTCATTAGAGTTATGAATTTTACATATACACTAATGACCTTGAGAATATGTGATTTATTGTAATTTTCAAGATTACTATATTTATCAGGTTCTAGAATAAAACTATGATGAAATCCATTTAAATGGGCTTTTTAAGGTATTCAAATGCAAAATAAAATTGAGTTATGTGACCATCAAATATAGACATTATGAAGTTAGAGTATATTTTTCTTCCTTTTTAGTTAAAAGACTAAATATTATATACTAAACAGTACTATTATATATATATATATATATATATATATATATATATATATATACATATATATATATATATATACATATATATATATATATATACATATATATATATATATATATACATATATATATATATATATATATAGACATATATATATATATATATATATACATATATATATATATATATATATACATATATATATACATATATATATACATACATACATACATACATACATACATACATATATATATGGGCGAACTATATACTAAAACTGTACTATATATACTTAACAGGATCAAAAGTTAATTCAATAGTTAAAGTGGTGTATGTGTAAGGAAACTAAAAGCTTTTTTGTCCTTA